GAGGTGGTGGAAAGCAGTCTGATTTGGGGTGTTTTTTGAAGAAAGACTCAAAAAGGCTTCCTGTTAAATTGGAAGTAGGATGTGAGAGAAAAAGAAGTTGAGAGGATGTATCTGAGAATTCTGGCCTGAGCAACTGAGTAACTGCCATGTTACTATTTACTAAACTGGAGAACTCAAGCCTAATGGAACCTAACATTTGTGTAACACTGTGCAGGTTATAAAGCACTTCTACGTGTAACGTAAACTTCGCTTTTCCCAACAGTCTCATGGGATAGGTATGGTATTAACTCTCTTCACTTTCCAGTCGAAGAAAGTGAGACCCCCAAAAATGTAAATAACTCTCACGTGGACCCAGAGCCTGTATTACTCAGAGCAATGCTCATTACCCGCTGAAACAAACAGTTCCCAAAGCTAACAGGTTTATACCCGGATGCATGTTTCTTGCTCATGTCACGTCTGACTCAAGTCTCATAGCTCTCTTGAGGGGCTCTCCTCCAAGGCTGGCTCTGGGGGCTCTGGGCTCCTTTCTGGTGGGTCTCCGCCATCTTGGAGTCTTTTGTATCTTGTTGCGTGGACAGGAGTGAAGTCAAGGTCTAGGCTTAAATTCTACTCACCAGGGGCGCCTGGGTGGCGCAGTCAGTTAAGCGTCCGACTTCAGCCAGGTCACGATCTCGCGGTCCGGGAGTTCGAGCCCCGCGTCGGGCTCTGGGCGGACGGCTCGGAGCCTGGAGCCTGTTTCCGATTCTGTGTCTCCCTCTCTCTCTGCCCCTCCCCCCGTTCATGCTCTGTCTCTCCCTGTCCCCAAAATAAATAAAAAAAACGTTGAAAAAAAATAAAAAAAAAAAAAATTCTACTCACCAAACAAGTCACATGACCCCACCTAGATGCGCGAGAACTGGGAAACGCATTTCTGCTGTGTGTCCAAAGGAAAATGAAAGCAGTTTGCACTAAGAGGACAAGAAGCCGAACATCTTAAAATGACGAGGGTTGCTTCACCTTGTGGCAAAAGTAGGAAAGAACTGGAAACCGATACTGTCAACCAAGGTATGACTCTTCGAGCCTCCACGGAAGGAATGGAAAGTTCAGTCTCCCTTCATCGCTTGGGCCTGTGTGAAGAAGGAAGTCAGTGGAGCAGCCAGAACTCCTGTGGATGGAGAAACTGACGGAAAGCCGGGGGGCTCTCCAGGTTGTACCAAGCAGTGAATGGTAAGGATGTTGGAAGCCCTCAGAAGGTTCCAGCTTCCTCACTTCCAACATACCCGTGAAACCTTCCTTGGCTTCTTACTCCAGCTGGGCTGGCGAACCCCATGTTTCCCACAATCCCTGTCCTGTCCTGCCTCAGAGTTTTACTCCTGCAGCGTCTGTCTAAATATCCTTGCAGCCAAGGGGAAGTTTCCCACTAGGTGATCTAAACAGAGGTCCCTTCCTAATCCACCCCACAACATGGGGCTGCCCAAAAGGCCCATGAGGAGTGGGAACATCTGGCTGTTTTTTTGTTTTTTTCAAATGAGCAATACATTCCAGGTAGCTTGCTGAGTCAGGTAGCACCGTTTGGAAGTGTGTGCTCGTGTTCAGGCAGGGGCCAGCCCGGCCAGCCCAGGAGCCAGCAGCTCCACAGCAGGCAGGGAGCGCTCAGGGACAGACGGCCACAGGGAGACAGCTCAGGGAGAGATGGCCCCAGGGAGACAGCTCAGGGACGGACAGCCACAGGGAGAGAGCTCAGAGACAGATGGTTACAGGGAGAGCTCAGGGACAGACAGCCGTTCTCTCATAGCACAGGGCCCTGCCCGTGAGGCAGTTTCCTCTCTAGTAGAACTGAAGGGAGGGCCTGAGACGTAGTCCCTTCTCTCCTAACTTTTAGCTCCTACTCTCATACCCTGTCCCCAGGCAAATGGTGATGAGATTTAGGCTTTTAGATAAGCCACTTATTATATAATTCCCAGTGAGAGAAAATGTGACAATCTCTCCTCTGTGTCAGAGATTTTGCTTTGCCCGTGGGGTCTTCATCACTAGGAAAATGTCATTACGTGACAATTGGATTTGACAGGCAGAAAGCCTCTCAAGAAAGTCTGGCTTTCAGGGGGCGTTTGAAACTAAGACCTAAACTACAAACATCCTCTCCCGTGAGCAATGTCTAGAAGCTTCTTACAGGCCATCAGGAACAAACCAACCCCGGATGTCTTTACAAAGCACCTGTTTTAGGTTAAAAAAGAAAAGAGCAGTGATTTGCAGACTAAATGTGGGAAGTGGCTGGGAGCTTACTGGTTGGAGGCAAGCAAGGGGCAGATTCCTGAACTCTGGCTCTCCTCTCACGGGACGAGTCATTTAGCCTCGTCTTCAAGGGAGATCATGACGGTGCCTACCTTGCAGAGTCCTCGCGCTGTGGAGGTAAAGTGTTCAGCACAGTGCTGGGTGTGGGGTTGGAGTCGGTTTGCAGATCTTTGTCACCTCACAGACTGGTTTTCACTCGGATGCCCTCAGGAGCCCTCCGCCCCAGCTCCTCAGGGTTCATCGCCTTAGATGTGGGCATTCTGCTGTAAGCTTTCTTGAACAAACGGGTCTTCATCGTCAAAGATAATAGTTGGTGGGGCGCCTGGGTGGCTTTGTCAGTTGAGCATCCAACTCTTGGTTTTCGGCTCAGGTCATGATCTCATGGTTCACGAGTTCGAGCCCCTCGTCGGGCTCTGCGCTGACAGTGCGGAGCCTGCTTGGGATTCTGTGTCTCCTCTCTCTGCCCATCCTCAGTGTGCCCATGCTTGCATATTCTCTCCCTCCCTGTCTCTCTCTCTCTCAAAAATAAATAAATAATCATGTAAAAAACAATAATGCTAATTGGAGAACCACCAACCTGAGTTCCAATTAGAGTGGGGTGGGACACTAGATGACCCCAAAAGCCTTCCGGCTGCAAACATCTGGGAAATGTAGATGAAACGTACAAAGCGTCAGAAACACAGAGCAGAGTGTGTAAGAAAGTAAGAGAAATGATCAACACCACAAACAGAGAAACTGAACGCCAGAAGGGTGCGACGAGAGCGCAAGTGTGGGAAGCGGGAGGCAGGGGGTCGCCGGGTGCTGGGGAGGGGAGAGCGAGAGGTGGGAGAAGGGCGCATCCTGATAATCCAGGAGCGTGGGTTTTAATGCCCAGATGGGAACACAAGACCAGGGCATGGGTCCTTCTCAAAGAAATAGCTACATGTGAAATAGCTGCGGTAATTGATGACACAACTGGGCCACTAAGCAAGTCCCAGCAAACACTATCCTCTCCCATGCGCTGATACCACATAGACTATGCTCTCTTACCCCCGTGAATTTTAATAATAAATAATAAATAAGTAAATATTTAATAATAAATATTTAGCAATAATAAACAACATCTCCAAAAGCACCCTGTGCATTTGCAAATTTGAAGACATACTTGTAAATAACATAGGTGTCAAAGGAGAGATCGTACTGGAAATTTGAACATGTTTAGAGTGAAACTCACGGTTAACAGCTACATGCATGGGAAACAGCTAAAACAGTATTTTGCCAGAAGTGCTATAGCTTTAAAGGCGTGTATTAAGGAGGAGGAGGAAAACCAACAAGCTCAATATTCAATTCAAGGAATTAGAAAAATAAAATAAAATAATATAGAAAACCGACAGGAGCATATAAATGATCCTAGTAAGACTAAAAACTGATACAATGGAAAACAAAGTGAGAGTAGAAGAAGCAAACCAAAAGCTGGTTCTCTGGAAAGACTAGTAAAATCGGCAAATCTTCGAGCACGGTTTATCCAGGAAAAAGAGAGAGAGAAGAGAGTCATAATAAAAAGAATGAAGACAAGGTCATAACTATAGAGGCAATAGAGGGTTTTTTTTTTTTTTAACACCACATGACAACAATTTTAGGACAATAAATTTGAAAATTTACCTAAAACGAACGTCCCGGGAAAATATAATTCACTAAAACTGACTCAAGAAGAAATAAAAAACCCGAGTGATGCCAATGTTATGAGTTGAATTGTATTCCCCTGAAAAGCTCTATCTAAGTCCTAACGCCTGGTGCCTCAGAATGGAACCTTACTTGGACAATCGGTCTTTATGGAGGTAGTGAAGATGAGGTCATGCTGAAGCGGGTCCCTAATCCAGGACGTCTGTGGTTCTTTCAAGAAGACGGCCACGTGAAGACACAGACACATGGCGGACACTATGGGACACTGGAGGTGGACATTGCAGCCATGTGTAGACAAGGCAAGGAGCAACAGGGATCCCAGGTCATCACCAAACCCCAGGAGAGAGGCATGGAAGAAATTCTTCCTCGGAGCCTCTAGAAAGAACCACCCCTGCTGACACCTGGATTTCAGACCTCCACAACCGTGAAAGAATAAATCTCTGGGGTTTTAAAGTACCCAGTTTGTGTTCCTTTGTTACGGCAGCCTTTGGAAACAAATACAACCAGTAACCACTGGAGTCATTGACATAATAGTTTAAAATCTGGGTGGGGGCGCCTGGGTGGCTCAGTCGGTTTAGCGTCTGACTTCGGCTCCGGTCATAATCTCACAGTCTGTGAGTTCGAGCCCCGCGTCGGGCTCTGTGCTGATGGCTCGGAGCCTGGAGCCTGCTTCGGATTCTGTGTCTCCCTCTCTCTCTGCCCCTCCCCCGTTTATGCGTGCGCGTGCGCACGCGCGTTCTCTCTCTCTCTCTCTCTGTCAAAAATAAACATTAAAAATAAATTAAAAATAAAATAAAAATAAAATCTGTGTGTGTGCCTGTGAGTACACACACACACACACACACACAGTGATCCACTTCAGCCTCATCACATAGACATGTAAACTGAGGTCCCGAGAGATTTCCTATTCAGAACCCCCAGCAAGATGGTGGTAGCAATGGCTGGGGTAGTGATGGGTGGGCATCCAGAGTGTAAATAGACCCCAAGCACTCTAGTGACAACACTAGACTCTGAATTGGGACAGTCAGCCCCTGTGCGCTTTTCATAAGCTCATTTTCTCTTCCCAGGTGCCTCAAGGTGATGGAAAATTAATTCTCTACCCCAGTGGGATTGTCTTCCAAATTCTCTTTCCTGATGAATCAGGCCAAATACAGTATCCACCGAAACCCAGGGACACTCATACTGACACATGTGACACCTAAGAAGTTTGTGGTTTGGGGCTGGGGCATGGGTTTTCCTGAGCCCTGCGTCCTCTGCAGGGCTCTCTGCCTTTCCTGGGGGTCCCAAGAGGCTGCTTGTGCCTTAACTGTCTTCCAGCTATCCATCAGGAAAGCTGGCTATGCTCATCCTCAGCACAAAACAGAGAAAGTTCATATATATCATTCTAGAAGACAGTGAAGAAGGTTGTGTCCGGGCCCTTATCAACAACTCCGGCCATGCCACCTTCTACGATGAAAACAAAGCAATCTGGTAAGTCTGGGTTAAGAGAGCCACACACCCCTCCCCACGGAGAAGCAGTGTGGTTAAGGTTTGATTCCCAGGCTGCACATCTGTCCTCCCGCACTGGGTAAGTCTCTCTCTCTCATTCGCTTGTGAATTTGTTTCTCCGACTCGCACATGTTGCAAAGGGGACGATGGGTATTGTGAGGGCAGCAAGGCAGGTCCCTGGCCTCAGGGAAGGCGCTCTGTCCTTGGTGCCATTGCTTCCTCGTGCGTGAAACAGCGACCACAGACTCACAGTGACCCCTTCCACGGGCTGTTATCTCCTCCATGCTTCTTGAGAGTCAAACCTGGTGACAATTGCCTTAGAAAGACGCAGTGCCCTTCTGTTCCAGGTGGCTCAGAGAGGAGGGCGTGGTGAGTGCTTTGGAGTCTCATGTATTGTACACAAAACCAAACTTCTAAATATCTCAGTGCAACTGAACTTAAGTTTCCAATTTAAAAAAAAATTGTTTTTTTTTTTTACATTTTATTCATTTTTGGGAGAGAGAGACAGAGACAGAGCACAAGCGGGGGAGGAGCAGAGAGAGAGAGGGAGACACAGAATCCGAAGCAGGCTCCAGGCGCTGAGCTGTCAGCACAGAGCCCGACGCGGGGCTCGAACTCACGAGCTGTGAGATCATGACCTGAGCCGAAGTCAGACGCTTAACCGACTGAGCCACCCAGGTGCCCCATTAAGTTCCCATTTCTGGCAATAGTGGGAAACTTCATCCCACCAAATCAAGGTAATCCAGCCACCTCAAAATCTTTCTCTACCTTTTTGGGGTAAGTACTCAGTGTTTTCAGGATTTCCCACTTCCCTTCCCTACTAAGTGGTCATGGAGTGGGAAATGCCTACCATCTTGCATGAACTTTATAATGCTTTTCTTCTTGATAGTCAAAACCAGACTTTTGTTTTTACTTCCAAAAATTTTTTTCACTCTCCCAGGCTTGGTTTGTTTTTTTTTAATTTTTTTTTTCAACGTTTATTTATTTTTGGGACAGAGAGAGACAGAGCATGAACGGGGGAGGGGCAGAGAGAGAGGGAGACACAGAATCGGAAACAGGCTCCAGGCTCTGAGCCATCAGCACAGAGCCCGACGCGGGGCTCGAACTCCCAGACCGTGAGATCGTGACCTGGCTGAAGTCGGACGCTTAACCGACTGCGCCACCCAGGCGCCCCCCAGCCTTGGTTTTTAAGAATATTTTCTTACATATTCTTTAAGTTTTTTTTTTTTTTAATTTCTGTGTGTTTGGGGTTTTTCTCCTTAGTTTGTTTATTTATTTTGAGATAGAGAGGGAGGGGCAGAGAGAGAGGGAGAGACAGAATCCCCAACAGGTTCCACACCATTCATTCATTAGTGCAGAGCCTAGATCTCATGAACTGTGAGATCATGACCTGAGCTGAGATCAAGAGTTGGACACTGAACCCACTGAGCCACCCAGATGCCTCATTTCCTAGTTGACAACTTTGTTCTCAGAGGTATCTGCCTTGCCCTGGGGACCTTTTGTGCAGAAATCAATGCCTCAAAGGTAGAAGAAGTTACTAGATGCTAAGTGGCAGAGGCAAGAAACTCAGCCAATTCTCTCAGATCATTACCTGGTGACATTCATTAGGGCCTCTTGTCCCCAGTGACACTCACTTTCAAAGGCCAGAAGAGACCTTAGGGAAATCTAGGAACTACTTTTATTTTCTTGATGAAGAAACTTAGGCTCAGGGAATATACGTGGCTTGTTCAGGGACATACATAAAATTACGGGCAAAAAAAAGTTTTAGGACATTTGACTTAGCCTCACATAAAGCACTTTTTAAAAATTCTCCAATAAGGCAGGCAAGAGATAACCACATCTTCTCTGGGTCCAAAACCCAAAGGGAAGGATGATGTGCACACTGGGGAAGGGCTGACCCCCACCTTCTGGATTCACATTCTGTCCGTCTGGGGTGGGGCCTGAAGATCTGCATTCCTTAAAAGCTTCCCAGGTGATTGTGCGGGGCGGTGGGTGTGGGAGCCTCCAGGCCAGGAGGGAGGGGAATGGGAAAGAGGCAGGGGAGGGGGGCAGGCCTGCATTCGCCACAGGAGAGGCTCTGCCCCCCCCCCCCCGCGCACAAGGGCCCAGCGCCATGGTTACCTGATCCCTTCTTGGTCTAGGTTGAGCCTGAGCCAAAACCTGGGCTACTACTTCCCCAAAGGCAAATACCAGAAGGCCTGGAACTGGTGGAATCTGAACCTGCACGTCCACGCGCCGCCCGTCCAGTCCATCTCCTTGAAAATCAACCAGTACATCAAAGTACAAATAAGGAGCCAGGATGAGATCACCTTCTGCTTCAACCACCAACAGAAGCACATCCGCTTAAACCTGGGCACCAAGTACAAGGTAAGGTCTCACCTCCCTCTGCCAGGCTACTGCCCGCCGGCCCAGGCCACCGGCCGGCCTCTCTCTGGGCCACGTTCGGCATCTCTGCAACCGACGGAGGACCGACACGGCCACCTTCGCTGACCCGATGCTTGACCACAACAGAAGCAATCAGTCACTTCCGAGCCCTTGAGACTTGGAGCCGAGGAGCCGGACAGCCTCAAAGAGCTCAGACGAGAAAGCAAAGGTGTCAACATTCAGTAGTTCCCCTGACACGACAGCCCCGTCACTTGGCAGGGACAGACACAAGGGGGAAACCTACGTTCCCAGTCCTGCCGTGGGTATCCTCATCTCTCCTCCCCAAACCACTCATCTTGAAACAAATGAGCACCGGGGAGTTGAGGGTGTGCCGCCCAAGTCGGGCAAGAAAGTAGCCAGATGGATTCGTGTCCTCGGGCTGCCAGAGCAAATTGCCACAAATCGGGTGACTTACAACAGGAACTCACCCTCACAGCCCTGGGGACTAGAGGTCTGAAATCCAGGTATCATCAGGGCCACGCTCCCTCCGCAGGCTCTCGGGGAGAGTCCCTCCTTGCCTCTCCCAACTTCTGGTGGCCCCAGGCATTCGCTGGCTTGCTACAGCATCGGTTCAACCCTCCACCCTCACACAGCCTTCTTCTCTGGGTCCGTCTGTGTGTCCAGTCTCCCTCTCCTTTCTTGTGTAAGGACACCCGACGCTGGACTTAGGGCCCACACTAAGTCCTGGATGGCCTCATACTGAGATCCTTAATGACATCTGCAAAAACCCTGTTTTCGAACACAGTTACCGGTCAGTCTGGGGAGGGGCCTGGAGATCTGCATTCCTTAAAAGCTTGCCAGGTGATGGTGCGGGGCGGTGGGTGTGGGAGCCCCGGGTGCTGGGGATTAGGACTCAGACATAGCTTTCGGGGGCCACAGTTCAACCCACTACAAATGGTGAGTGTGCACCCTGCGGTTCTGACCGTAAGAAGGCAAGAAGGTGGGTTCTCGAGACCCTTCCCCAGGCCCAGAGTGCAGGAGAGGAATAGGGTGTCCTTGTCCCCCGCCCCCACTGGGACCCACACAAGACCCTGCTCTTGCTCCAACTTGCCCTTCACCATGCACAGAAGGCTCTGTTTCCAGACCCACCAGAGAGGCGTTCGAGGTCTCTGAAAGTAGGACTGCCTGTGTGGGGAGAGAGACAGACCGACATGTTTTCCGGGAGGTGAGCAGACAGAGCAGTAGGTTGACGGACAAAGCAACCGAACAGCAGACTCGGGCAAAATGAGGCCGAATGAAATCACTGGAAGGGAGTGGAGGGAATGTGGTGGGTTCGGCTCGCCCAGGACCGAGGTGTTTTCCAACTGGGAAAGGTGGACAGCCAGAAGCGGGCAGCTGGTCACCTGGCCTGGCGAGGCCTGCCACTTGGCATGCTGAATAGTCATGTCCCAACGTCCTCACCTACCCCAGATGTCCCAGAGCGGCCGACCCAGTCCCCCAGCCACCCACTCAGCCCCCACCGCACCGTGCTGATGAGCTAAGGGAGCAGCTAGGTTGGCAGGGTGGGAGGACCCGGGCCGCTGGCCTTCGGACAGTTTTACTGAGGGAGGAGGGCCACAAAAGGAAGCCAGTGCCCAGGAGGAGGGTCAGGTAAAGGCCGGTGTAGGCAGAGTCCAGGAGGCCTGGAAGCCCCAGGGGCTCTGCCAGTGGAGGGTGGGCCCCAAATGAAGCAACTCAGCACACACGTGACTCGTCAGCAGGTCTACCTGAGCCAGGCAGCTGGGGTGTCCTAGGAGGAACACGCCAGCCCATCCACTTCCTGTGAGGCCCCAGGCAGGCCTCCTACACTTCCCGTGCCCCTTATTGTCTGCAAAACGGACACCACATCGTTGTAAGGCTTAAATAAGACCCTTCGTGCGACGACATCTCCCTCCCTGCCCCACCTCGGTAGGAATCCACGGGGAGAAGCCAGACACCCCCAGGAAGGCACAGCCTTTGCAAGGCAGGCCGCTTGAGGGCCCAGGAGCCGGCAAGCCTTTGGTTTGGGGTCAGGCTTCGGTGTGTCCTCAGCCCACATCTCTGCGGCCAGGTGGCCACAGGCCCAGGCCAATGAGAGACGTACTGCTGGGGGCAAGGCCGGGAGCAGAGGCGTGCCCCTCGGCGGCGAAGTTTCCAGAGAAGGCTTGGTCTTGGCCAACAGGGGGCCTGATCCTGGGGTGGAAATCACGACACCTGGGCAGCATTTATGCTCACCCAGCCTTCTCTGAATTCCCACAGTCCATAACCCCGGAGGTGCTGAGTGAAATGAGGCAGAAAGCAATCCTGGAGGTAGAATGTGGTTCAGCGGCCCAGAAGATGCAGACCCTCCTGGGAAAAATGAGTAGGATCCTGAATTTCCTGACCATCCCTGATTTGGAAAACTTCATAGAGGCTGCCAGTTCCTTGGCAGTAGGCAACATGAAACGGAAGGAGAAATCGTACCTCCCAGACTAGGACAGCCACCAGCTGGTGACCGGCCACCCACCCACCCCACCCCACCCCCCTCGCCAGCATCCGCTGAGCGTCACAGAAAGGTGGAGTCATCAGGAGTGCCAAGGAAAACCCCAAAGCCCTCTTCATGTCTTCTGAGGGTTGGTTTGTCATTTGGGACTTATCACAGCGCCTCAGTTTGGAAAACCATTTTTCAAGGGGCTAAGAGACTCTGTAGCCGGGCACAGAAAAGACTCGGCCCTGAGCCGATAGCACGATAAGCACGTCGTTTCGGTAGGCAATACATGTCAACACCCGCCCCGCTCGCTTCCACTGCTCACTTCCACACGGAAGTTCTGTCGCGGCCTACTTGGGTTGACTCAGGACACAGATGGTCTCAAAGCCAGCGTCTCCCAGCTGGCTGGATCAGGAGGCCACTCTTGGTGCAGTCCTGTGTGGTAAGGAAGGGCGGGGCTGTGTCTGGATATCTCTGCGGGGGGAGGGGCAGTTTCTAGAAAAGGGGGACTTAGGGGCCGGACAGCCCCCTACCGTGTGCCTTTTATACATTCCCTGGGGTACCCCAGCTCCCCAGGATGACCTCCGCTGCAGCTTAAACCAAGACTGGATAGGAAACCCCTTCCTCCCAGCCAGCCTGGCAAGGGGCCAATGAGCCATCCCCCTGCTGCCACAGTGACACCAGAGCCCCACCTTCGCAGCCCGGCTTCCCTGCTGATCTCACCCTGCCTGCCACCAACCTTCACCGAAGTCCTCATCACCCCGAACCATAACAACTGGAAGAGAGGGCTGGCAGTGGGGGCCGTGCACGGTCACTCCCACCATCTGCCATACCTTGTCGGCAAATGGTATCATCAGCTAAAACAACAGTCGCCTGGTGGCAAGGTCACGAGCCACAAATGACACCAGCACCGTAGCAGCCGCCCGTGCAAGCCCGCGTCAGCGTTTGACGTGCCCTGTTGGTTCTGCGCCCATGCTCAGGGCGCACAGAAGCCCTTTTTCCAGCAGGCACTAGAGACTTAAGTTGGTCCTGGCAGCCGCCAAGTTCCCCCAGGCTCGTGGTGGCTGTGTCTCAGAGCCGGCCCCCATGTCCCCCGCCCCCCGCCCCCCCATCCTCCACGGGACTGGAGGCAGGCCGCCAGGGCATTGAAGGCATCCATGGCCTGGGATCAGCCGGCCCCAGCTAGCTATGGGACCCCGGGCAAGGTCGTGGGCCCCCCCAGTTTCCTCATCTGTAATAGGAGGACGACCACAGAGCTCACCTCCCAGTTACACACCAGGGATGAGAGGCGTCAGTGTCGGCAAAGCACCCCGCTCCGTGCTGCTCCGTGTGGGGGGCTCCCCATCAGCGGCCGGGCCCTCGCCCGGATCTTTCTCCTTTCGCAAACCTGACAGCACTCTTCCGCTAATGCAGAGCTTGAAAACAGGTGGCCTCGCAGAGGCGTTTCGTCTGGTCAGCCCCATTTTAACGTATCCCGTTGCCAACAGTTCAAAGACCAGAGATTTCACACGGAAGTATGGATTTCCGGCCCCTCCATGCCTGTGTTACCCAAGAGTGGACACAACGGCACGGCCATCAGGGACTACCTTCCTCAGGGAACGCGAATCACCTCCCAGACCGGGAGGGAAACGAGGCGACCCGCCAGCCGGCCAGCCGGCCACGCGGCAGAGCCAGATCCACCCCCACCCCCCATGTGCGCCAGCGCTGTCCTCGCAGAGGCCACGCGCCTGGTGCCTTCCACCTCGGACACTTACTGTCGCAGGCCTCTGGCGGCTGGAGGTCCCGGATGAAGGGCTTCCCTCCGAAGGCAGGAGGAGAGGGTGTGTTCTGGCCCCGCCCAGCTTCTAGTCGGTCCTCCTGGGCTTCTAGTGGGTCCTCGGCGCGGCTGGAGCAAGCACCTGGTGGGTGTGTGTGTGTGTGTCCGTCTCCTTTTTTATACGAGCACCTGGGCTTCTAGTGTGTGTGTGTGTGTGTGTGTGTGTGTGTGTGTTTCCCCTTTTTTATACGAGCACCTGGGCTTCTAGTGGGTCCTCGGTGCGGCTGGAGCACCTGGCGTGGGTGTGTGTGTGTGTGTCCGTCCCCTTTTTTATACGAGCACCTGGGCTTCTAGTGGGTGTGTGTGTGTGTGTGTGTGTGATTCCCCTTTTTTATACGAGCACCTGGTGGGTGTGTGTGTGTGTGTGTGTGTGTTTCCCCTTTTTTATACGAGCACCTGGGCTTCTAATGGATCCTCGGCGCGGCTGGAGCACCTGGCGCGGGTGTGTGTGTGTGTGTG